CATTTCAGTTTATCGTTTCTCATTTTCAAATCTTAAGTTTTCCTTATAAGCACTTTTTTCTAACACACATATTTCTGCAAAGAAATAAATATAATTCCCTGTTATGCTGCATTTTTGTGTGTTATTTTCACCAATATATGCATCTTTATGCACATTCCTCCCTACTACATGCATTTTTGTACATCTTACTTGGCTGGAAAACTGCACTGCAAAATTCAGAGAAGTGTGAATTTCAAAGGAGGGGAGTGTTTCGGTTTGTGCACTCTTTCAGAAACAGCAAATTAGGTAGGTTTGCCTTTAAATGCAAAGTGAATTGATCTCTCCCCCAATCTCTAAGGGAGTAATCTGTAACAGAAGAGTGATGTCATTGGTGGATTGGGCTGAACTCAAGTTAATATGGACTTACATATCACATTTCATTCCTGACCTGTGTGGGTATCAACTCAGTAAGAAGGTATTTCAAGTTTGATACCACAAAAAGAGGAATGTTTCAAGTCGTATGCCCCATTGTCCTTCTTAATGATCCTTAGGTGTAATAATTTAACATGTTTAGAGTTATTGCCCTGCCCTACTCACATTTATTTTAATGTGCCTCCCTGGAAGGGAGAGGGCTTTTCTTTTATTGGGGAAATCTCTCCCCACAGAGATTGTATAGGCTCTGCCACATTCTGAAGATGCTCATCTATACCTGGCATTTGACAGTTAAGATTTTTTGTGGGGGGCCCACCTCTTCTCTTTCTGTTTAAACTATACTGTGTTGCCTTTGTTTGGAATTCTTTCAATTGCTTTTATCATTGCATAATCTTGTTTCACTTGTTTTTTTTTATTTCTGGTTATATTGTTGGAACTCGGCCTGGTTTGTTGGAACGGCACCACTGAAAATCTTGTCTGGAGACTGCAGCAAGTAGATGAAGTGATGGGCAGAGCACTATCAAGGACTGTACTCATCGGAAAGCATGGTCTCCCACACACCAAGTGACAGCATCTAGACTCTTCGCGTTTTGGAAGAGCTGGATGTCCCTTCCTTCCTTGATGAGCTGAAGAATGCCCTCAACTTTCAGGCAACCATTTTGCCCAAGCCAGCATGGAGTTTGGCCTCACCACCAGCCTGGTGACAACCAATATCAGGATGTTGCCAGCATTGTTGATCACACACTTGTGGTGATAGAAGGGTTTGCCACAGCTCCACCCCCCAATCTCTGGTCTTATAAAATGAATAAAGATGTAATAAAGATGTATCTCTTCCCCCCATTTGGTACAAGACTTCTGAACAGAAAAACCTCCAAGCCCTGGCATTTTGAGGATTACTAATGACAATTACAAACTAAGGCTGGATGATCCAGACACGTTTTGCCTGTCTGACCACCTTCCCACTCACCAGCTGTGAAAACAACTTTGGTCCGCTTTTAGCCAACTTGTGGGATTTATGCACAAGATGTTCAAAGTGCTATAAATTAAGAAGAAATCAAGTATCATCTGTTTAAGTAACCCAGGTGGGGGGAAAAGCCAATATGCTAAAATATAGAATGTCTGGGGGCAAAACCAAGACAATGTGTTATCCAAGTGCAGAAAACAATTTATCAAAGAATATTTTTAATGGTGTTGGCTACTTACCTGTGTAAACATCTCCTGAGGTTCTTTATTCCAGGATGCAACTTCACAGTTGGGCACACTTGACTTAAGTTACAGGTGTGAATCAACAAGTTCTTTATTCACAAAATAACAGTATAGTAGAAATAAGCATCCCTTTCAGACACTGCAGCTCTCTGTCCCTACGGGTATTTACTTTAAGGATAAATAATCAATTTCCTCTCTTAGACAAATGTGTAGAAATTACCCATGGTTCTCTGCTCTATTCTCCCTGCAGCACCTTCCATGTCAGAAGTATTGAGGCTTGAGTTTTTTCCACTAAACTGCAAGACTTGCTCCTTTTTGTTTCTGCAACAAGTACACAAGCATCCCTTAAAATAAGCTACTTAAGCAGATTTCTTTCTGCTTACAAGCACACATTCCCGAGCAGACCATACAGCTATATTTCATCATAATTAGAGCTGGGGAAAATCCACCTGGTAAACAAGCTTGCGTGTTAAAAGTCAGTCTCAATGCTGCATGTTTGTGAGCTAGCTGACATGAATATAAAGGAAACAGCAAACAGAATACATAGGATCAGAACAGCGTATGTGTGGAGCAGAACCCTCAGTTTCCCAGTAAAGGCACCATTGAAATGTACTAGTGATTAATAATAACCAAAAGTGTTGGGTTATTATTCATTACTGTGGACCACCAGTGGTCCACAACCTTCATTTAGGTGGTCCATGGTATGTCTGTGAAAAATGCATACAATTTGAATGATATAGAATCCTTTGGCATTCAAATTGTAATACAACATAAAGCAATATAAAAAACAAAAGTTCAAGAAAAACCATATACAGTGGAACCTCGGGTTAAGTACTTAATTCGTTCCAGAGGTCCGTTCTTAACCTGCAACCGTTCTTAACCTGAAGCACCACTTTAGCGAATGGGGCCTCCTGCTGCTGCTGCTGCGCCGCCGGAGCACGATTTCTGTTCTTATCCTGAAGCAAAGTTCTTAACCTGAGGTACTACTTCTGGGTTAGCGGAGTCTATAACCTGAAGCGTATGTAACCTGAAGCGTATGTAACCCGAGGTACCACTGTATCTAGCTGTACAATTATAATCATAACAACATGCAGAAAAATAATTCAGTGGTCTACCAAGACGCTTAGCAACGGTGGTTCATGTGTGGGAGCAAGTTGAAGAACCACTGCAATAACGAATGTGAGTGTGAACACCTTGGTCTGAGCCTGGAACTGAAGTTCTAGTAACATTCATATGTGATCCTTTTCCTGTCTTTTGCATTCTTATGATTTATTATCTAGGCCTTATTTGCCATTATGACCGGCTTTTAAGACATTCCTTTCATCAGGTGTGGCTAACCTCCCTGCCTGCCCCCCCCCAAAAAAGCTACATTTACCTCAACTAACTTGCTGGGAGCTGGATGCCACCTCCCACTTTCTCACAACTAAATTTATTCAACTAAATGTTACTCAGACTAGACCTACTGAAATTAATGGACCTAACTTTGTCATGCTCATTCATTTCAATGAGCCTACTCAGAATAAATCTTACACAAACACACACACACACTTGAATACAACCCCATTCATACAGATTTAAATATTTGCAGCCATCCCAGTGCATTGTCTATATTATTTATTTCTCGCCTGCACAATGTGCTGTAAATTCCACAGGGAGCCCCCATGAGTAGAGAAATTTCTAAAACTTGACTAAAAACTTGAAGAAAGTGATGTACTGATTGATTGGATTGGCAGATTATGATGGAGAGGGTGGGGCTTGGCAGTGTGCCCCCATGGCACCTAGTGTGTTTCCTTACACGGAAATAAAAACCAATGCCCAAATAGGTCTATAATGGCTCTCCCAAATGAGATTCTTGACCAAATGGAGATTTGAGCCCAAGCCTCCTCTGTATCACACATGTTCTCCCACGAGCATATGTGAAACACCTATGTCCAGCTATACTGAATTCTCTATCCCTGTTTGGCTTGGCTCCAGAAAAATTGTACAGCTCAGTTCTATTATACATATATTCTCTCCACGTAAACACAGTTTTGCGGTTTGATGGCTGTTTATATGTGTTTGTGTGTGTGTTATATTTTCTTATTCCTTGCTAACAGACATTTGCACACTGTTTGCACTGAAGGAAATGCTGAAATAATAAAAGCAGAAATCCCTGGTAGCAGCTACAGACAAAACAAGCCACATTTCCCTCTTTGTAGAAGAAAACCTGGAGCACCAGGGAGTCTTCACCTCTTGATCTGTCTTTGGGCCATTTACAGATACTGACATCATGTGAGACAGATGACATAACTGAAGCCTTGGCTTTGACTGCTTTATTTCATTTTATTTCTTTGAATTGTCAAAGAAATTGGGTTTCTTTTTAGAATCAAGCTACAAGTTACACCGTGATGTCCTGAAGGTACTTACATACAGAAGAAATGAAAAGGCGGACCTGATTTTTCTTATTTTTGTCTCTCTTTTCCAGCAGCAACCACTTAACTATCTATCACCAAGAGCAACATTTCTTATAATAAAACCAATATAGGTACAATGACCATTACAGAATAGTCTTAAATCTCCTGTCTATTAAAATTAAAAAGGAAGATAATTTAACAGAAAATAAAACGCTTAATTAAAATAATCAGACTTAAAAACAGAATAAGTCCTGCTGTATCAGGCTTGTGGCTCATCAACTCCAACATCCTGTTTTCACATTGCCCAACAAGATGCTGCATAAAAATAACAGAACTATATAGAGAATTTCATGGTGTAGGATAATGTGCATAGATAATCCCTGAAGTCAATGCAAGAAAGTGCAAAGCCCCCGTTCTCAGTACTAGGCTGACTGAATTAGAGCCAGCAGAAATTCTGCAGTGTTTTCTGAGGTGAAGAGATCTTGCCACCTAATTAATTGTATTCATTTTGTATGCCCATTTTCTTTGAAATTTTCTCTAGGGCTAGGGACTCTATTATAACAAAGTCACATTGTACAAAGAGGAAGCATGTTCCAGTGTGCTAAAATTGAACTTTGGAGACTCAAGATCAGTGCTACCACAAATGTCCTCTATGACCTTGGGCAAATAACAGCATCTCAATTACACAGGAGTATAATGTAGTCTGGTAATAGCACTAATTTCACAAGTGCATTGTGAGGGCAAATACACGGAAGATGGTAAGGTGGTTTGATTAAATGATAATAGGCACCATATGTGCTTGACATAATATTATGAGGGTTGCATCCTTATGAAAGATATGAAGCAACAGGGGAAGAATTATTGTTTCCAAAGTTTATCGGCTTTTGCAATATCAATAGGTTTCAAAAATTAAGCTAAGACAAATCTGCCAATGTAAAACTGTGAACTGAATAGTAGGGGTCATGAAATGAATTATTGTTTGATTTTGTTTGAGATACTTTGGTGTCTAGTTTCTCACCTGTTAGATGTCTAATGAAAGCAGATTGTAGGTGTTAACAGGCAAACCTTTTTGTCACATACATGAAGCTGTAATAGGTAATAATGTGGCCTATTACTTACTTTGCTAAACCTTTATTAGACATTACAAATATAGGTAAAGGTAAATGACCCCTGGACGGTTAAGTCCAGTCAAAGGTGACTATGGGGTTGCAGCACTCATCTCGCTTTCAGGCTGAGGGAGTCAGCGTTTGTCCACAGACAGTTTTCCGGGTCATGTGGCCAGCAGGACTAAACTGCTTCTGGCACAATGGAACACCGTGACAGAAACCAGAGTGCATGGAAACACCATTTAGGTACCTTCCTGCCACAGCAGTACCTATTTATCTACTTGCACTGCGTGCTTTCGAACTGCTAGGTTGGCAGGAGCTGGGACAGAGCAACGGGAGCTCACTCCATTGCAGGGATTCAAACCACTGACCTTCCGATCGGCAAGCCCAAGAGGCTCAGAAATATATACAAATAAACAGCCATGTAAAATATGCAATAACGAGGATTTTCATTGGAGTTTCTTCTGTGCCAATTATTAATAGGGGCATGTGGAGAAGCCATCACAATCTCATTTAGTACATAGCTAGCAGAAGACATACTATTTCAAAGCAAACAGAGGCAAGGTCAACAGGGAGCCTTTTTTGTTTTGCTTTGGATACTTCAGGTTTTTATTTGCTGTAGAGAACCCCAAACAGACATTAGTTTCTATGGGAGAATGCAGAGGTGCGAGCAGGATTTTCCTGGGCCCAGTACACTGTATGTGGCTGGCCCCACTTTGTCCTCCCTCCTCCAACCTATTGGTAGAAAATACTGCTTACATACATATATTAACTTAGCCTACCATCAGCTCCCCCAGCAATGAAAAAGGCCACTGCTGTATTTACTCTCAAAGAGAAGCTCTGTGCACCTCTCTTCCATTCAGAACAGAATGGAAGGTGGGTGTCTAATCCTGGCATCCAGTGAGATGTGGGCATGTCTGAGGGGTGATGCTTAGTGTAGGAAAGGCCAAACTGGGGAGGAATTGTGGACGTTTGAGGGATGTTTACCAATGCCTTTCATGGGTGCCACTTTTCATTCAGACCCACTGGTGTCCATGAGCACCGTGTTGGTGGCCCTGATCTATCAGATCTTGGAATATGAACTATCCCAGTTCAAAAAGCCTCACATCACAGTATCAGAAGCTGAATCCAGATGTTCACCGCTGAATCCAAAAACATATCTGTGGCAGCTGGAGAGGAGTAGGTGCAGCAACGTCTTTCTGGTTTTCTGTAGCTATAACATCCTAGGGTCAACTGGAAAATGTACAAGACTCTTGCAATGGCTATTGGTTTAGCTTTTCTTCACACATTATATTGTTGTCTAACTTCAGTGCTACAATTTGGATGACATCATGAGCGCTGATGTTGACCTTTGCAGTCATGAAAACTGCACTAGAATAACTCTAAACTATGAAGCAGCCGTATGATTCTTTATACAGCAGTGTTCTAATTAGCCACATAAAGCTTATTTGGACTGCACACCAGAGATGGCAAAGTTTTGATCAATGGATCAGGATGGATAATTCAGGTTGGATAATTTTTAATAGAACTATCTGGAAAGTGGTCTGAAATGGCTATAATTAGTCTGATCCCTTTGCTTTTACAGTAACCCATGAACAAAAAATGAATTGATTTCCTTCCTCAGCCCCTTTATGGTAAATCTCTTTTATAGGGCTTTTAAAAGAATCCGTCCCGCAATCTATCATGTGGCAGCACAGATTGGTGGTGCTTAGTGAAATTCCACTCTTCTACCTGTAAAGATGCTTAACACAAAGTTCCTGTTTTTGAAGGAAGCATCAGGAGTTCAAATACACAAAACATTTTAAACTCATTAATTCTAGATTTTAATTCTGTCTGCGAGCAAAAAACCTTTCGTCTGATCATAGTCTAATTGTGTGTGTGTGGGGGGGATTACTTGGTAACATTTGGCAGATTGTGTGCCCTGTTTCTTCAAAGAAGCTAGAAGAAATAATTTAAGTGCAGGAAAAAATAGATCACCAGAACAGGAGAAAAGTGTGTTTTATTTTTATTTCAGACAATCTTAACTGGAAAAAGAAAGATTTAAGAGGAAGTTTATGTCAGTTCCCATGATCATTACATCTCTGAGGACCAATTCACATTATCAAATTGCTATGTTGAAAACATGAGTTAAGTGGATCTGTGCAGAGTAATTGATTCACTATACATCTATCTTGCAAATCAAGGCACAGCTACTGCACAATTGCAATGCTGCTAAAATTGGAATTGCAGACTGCACTTCCTTTTAAGGTTACTTTCACACTAGACAAATTCTATGGAATGTTATCCTTTGTTTGCTCATTTTTTAAATGGACCTCCTGGAACAAGTCATTGTGTTTACTGATGTCTTGTGGCTTTTCAGATCTGATTTGTTGCAAACTTTTGGTGATAAAATGCAATTGCAGTACTAGTTGTTTAGTTTGGACAAAGTGCTATTGAACTTTTAAAGTGCTCCTATTTTTTTATATCCTTTCCTGTTTGTAGGTGTTGTCCATTTTATGACTTTGCCAGGGGATTAATGCTGTTTGCCCCATGAATATTTTTTTTGTAATTTCACCGATGTTAGGTCATATTCACACCGTATATTGGAAACAAATTTAAAGCACATGGCTGTTCATTCCCCAATAATTATGGGAATGTAAGAGTGCTGGGAATTGTAGATCTGTAAGCAATACACTGCTGTATTGTTCTTAACACTCGATTGGGAGCTGCCCAAAGTACACACTGTACAAAAAGAGGTAGCAAGAGAAAAAGTAAAAGTGATTTGTTTGGGCAAGTTAGTGAACATCTCAAGAGAAAACAAAATAGTAAGAGTATTAACTATTTTTTTAAAAAAACACACAAACTCCCACAAGGCAAATGGAAATGTTGGATGATAAAAATGGGGAAACGCAATACTGAGAGCTCAGTGCACCAAAATATCCCTTAAGGAATATAAAAATCAAGCATTTCCCTCCCACGGATTCCGATTTATTCCAGTGGATGATGGCTATATACCTGCCTAGCAATAGACACTGAAGGTTATACACTAGTATTCATCACACAGAAATAACTGCCATTGAACACGGTGGGGCTTACTCCCAGGAAAGTGGCTATTTTTATTTCCTTTATCCAAAAATATTTCTATACAGCTTGCTGTTAAAAAAACAACAAATAAATCCCAAAGACATACCATGACAGAATAAACATACCATGGTATCATATCAGACAAAGCCAAGATATTACAGATCACCGGAAATACAGAGTGACTGGAACCAGTGTTTAAAGGCTGAGGAAGTGCTGAACTAAAAAGTGTGTTTTTAACCCTCCTAAAAACAGGTGGGAGGTCTCTCCAAAGGGCACGTGCTACCAGCAGAGAAGACCCAGTTCTTTATTGCCACCAGATGACACTTCGCAGAATCGCACCCTAAGACTATAGTTATTGGACTCATTGGACAGATCGATAGCTTGTTGATATTGCTATGAGAATATCAGCTATGTAAAGGTAAAGGTACCCCTGCCCGTACGGGCCAGCCTTGACAGACTCTAGGGTTGTGCACTCATCTCACTCTAGAGGCCGGGAGCCAGTGCTGTCCGCAGACACTTCCGGGTCACGTGGCCAGTGTGACAAGCTGCATCTGGCGAGCCAGCGCAGCACACGGAAACGTCGTTTACCTTCCCGCTGGTAAGTGGTCCCTATTTATCTACTTGCACCCGGGGGTGCTTTCGTAGGCTGACACTATTTCCTTTGAGATAACTTCATTTATTTATTCCACCTTTCTCTCATCATCATGGTGCACATGGGATCTCCAACTGGCCTGACATAAAAATGCCACTCAGACCCAAAGTTGCTTAGCTTCAGCAAGTGGACTGTACCTTGATAGGCCCTCAGACTCGGCACACAGAACATTCAGGGCAAAATCCCTAGAATTTCCAGTTGACAAGGTGGCATGTAATGTGAAAGACCTTGCTCTGTCTGAGGCTCTGGAGTAATAGTGGACAACAATGGGCTATAGATAGACAACATAAGGCATGTTCTTATGCCAGCTGTATTGGAGTTTGGCTGCTTTATCAGTCCACAATCTGAATAATCAGAAGTTCACTGCTCTCTGCATGTGCTGTGTACAAAAAGAAGCAGGTGCTGTGTTTCTTTCTATTAAAAAAAAAAATAAATGTTGGATATGGCTCCACAATACCCTATTTCAATGAGATGGTGGAATATATCAATCAATCTAAATATTAGCATTTCTTATTTTTTTGAATAGATTATTTTTAATGAAGTATAGAAGGGGATCTAAACTTTCAATAAGTAACATTGGAAAGTAATAAAATGGCTGTGTATCATGTGAAGGATATGTTGATGTAAAATAGATACGCTGACAAAAATTCATCCTACCTCCACAGGAGCATTATATAGCATACATTTAGTATACGTAAAAAAAAGAAAATCAAATCCAGTTGCCTGCATTTTTCTTTTTCTTCTAAAAGCTATGAATAGGGGCCAGGAGTAATGGGGAGAAAAAGATTTCTTGTGAGAATTGCTCCAGTTTCTTGTAAAGATCATAATACCGCAATATGGGAACAGGATGAACAATGGATCCCAATAAATGGCCTTCAGAGATTGCTATCCCAGTAATTTGGACTCCAGTGCAATATTAGAAAGCATAGGCCGGAGCCTACTGAAGCAGAACTGGTGTCTGTTGAAAACTTGGAGCACAGAAGTGAGAAGCTACACAGAAAAGCTGCCAGTCTAGATGTGAATTTGAACATTCAAGGAGATAGGTTAGGAAAGTGTATAAGGTCATTGCTACATGATTGGTATAAACTACAAAAGCCTGGCTACCACTGATGCACAACAAAAAGGTTAGAAGCAGCTGGCCCAAGGCTAAAAATGAAAAACTAATAGCTCAAAGGCTAACCTTGTGCGGGACAGAAGGTTTCAACTGTAAATGAAAGGAAGGTCTTCTAAGACAGAAAAGGGTAGTTTTAATGAATAAAATATGCAGCTTAGACCTCACTATTGACACTAAGTACATAAAGGCATCATCTGATTGTTGATGGGCATTTTCATTCAATTCCTGGAGTTCTACATGCATGACTCCTATTTTGAACTTTGACCAACTCCATCTGTATGGCACCAATAGCCTCCCACTGGCTGAATAAAGAGCTCCCTCACTGCTCTTCCAGCGCAAAAAAAGAGAAAAGGCCCAATGCTGTATGAACATACAGTGGTACCTCGGGTTACATATGCTTCAGGTTACATATGCTTCAGGTTACAGACTCCACTAACCCAGAAATAGTAACTCGGGTTAAGAACTTTGCTTCAGGATATGAACAGAAATTGTGCTCTGGCGGCGTGGCGGCAGCGGGAAGCCCCATTAGCTAAAGTGGTGCTTCAGGTTAAGAACAGTTTCAGGTTAAGAATGGACCTCCGGAATGAATTAAGTACTTAACCCGAGGTTCCACTGTACATAGGAGTAAGAATGAGAGTCCAGATGCGAGTGAGTGACTGTGTGGGTGTTATGTGTTAGAATAGATTTTTGTAGCTGTTATGTGTATGAATGTAGATGTGTGTCTATGTGTAGATGTGAATAACTGGGTATGTGAGAGGGAGGTGACCCCACCTACTTTTTTCACTGGCCCTACACAACAATGACATGTGGTCCCAGTACTGAGCAAGTTGGGTCAATGGTCTAGCTATTTATAAGGCAGCTTCCAGAAAACCTGATTCTAATGGACTATTCTGGTTGTGACAGAGCTGTGACTGAAGCTGAGGCTACTGAGGTGGCCAGAAACCATATTGTCTGTGAGTCCTGGAAAACCTACTCCCTGCCTTGCAGGACTTTTCCCACCTGGCCTGGGAGGGTGGGGTCCTGACTGACTCCAGCTACAAAAGCGAAGGTTGCTGAACAGACTTTTGGGCTAGGAAGTTTTGTTTAGGATTTTTGTCGCTGTTGATGATGTTATTTTTTATATCTTTCTTTTTAGATCTTATGATTTATGTGGTTTTTGTGTACTTTTTGATGTGTTTTCTTTATTGTTTAAGACTACTTTTACAATTAAAAAAATATTTTCATGGTGTCAGCCACCGTGAATATGGTTTTAACTGTAGAAAGGAGGATACAAATAAAATGATGGTGGTGGTGGTGGTGGTGATGATGATGATACTCTGATCCAACACTTAATCTCTTCATGCTGTCTGTCTTTATAGTGTAGCATCAGCAGACAGTCATGGCTGCAGCTTCTGACAGTTTGATTATGCGAAACACCAGTAAACCGAGCTAGGCTGAAAAGTTAAATGGGGTAGATAATAGTTGGACAGCAACAGAACATCAGAGAGCAAATGGAACCTACTGGCAAATCTGGATTGCTATTTATTTATTCCCAGGGATAAGAGAGTAACATTGTGGCTGTGTGGAATTGTTTACTGTGGAGATAGCATTTTATACATTACACTTAGGAATTATTAGACAACAGAGCATTTGACGAGACTGTAACAGTACTAACTCAAAGTGGTTCCAACATGCAGAGATATAAACCAAGTGCTTTCTTTTTTAATTTAAAATTGTTTTCTCATCGAATAAGTAATATTATTTCCCTTGAAAGCTTTTCTCTCATTCTCATTTGTGGAAAGACCAGATGAGTCTCCCAGGTCATTCACAGTTATGAAAGAAAGAAAGAAACAAAAAAATCCCTTTTCAGAAGTGAGATATCCTTTCTTCTTCATAGGAAAACAAATTATTTGCTTGGGTGGAAACCTTTTGTATTTTGGAGTAATTGCTGATATCTGTGGGGTGTCCTGAAAATGAGATGCTCTGTCTCAAGGAGTTATAACTTATCCCTGTGCATAAAATCTAAATAAATAAATTGGAAAAGACCTCAAGGTACCATGCAGAGAAAGCATACAAGGAATACAACTGAGAAATCAGGAGGAGGCCTCAAGTGATAACAAGTGGACAAGATAAAATTATTTCACAGCAGGATTTGGCTGATCTGCTTTTGTAAGAATGTTGTTTTGTTGCTGTTGTTTTTTGAAGATTATATTCTGCCCTTGGATATTATATTTTGAAAATCACTTTTAGGGTTGCTGTTGTTGCTGTCACAGAAAGTCCTGCTATTAGAAAGGCTGATCAACAAGATTAATGTTTTCTGTTGTAACTATGGATTTCCATGTTTTCCTAATGTTTCATCATAACCTAAAATGTTTATTGTTTCAGTCTGGGAAGAATTTATTTCTTGACTCAGAGCCTGGGGCAAAATAAACTTTGACAACTATGGCACCTTGCTGAATGCAATTTTCAAATGACTTTATCTTGAGTAAGCCCATTGAATTCAGTGAAGCCAATCTGGAATAATTTGTTTGGAAAGCAGAGCTACTAAAACCATAATACAAAATCAAAACTGTTCTAAATAGTTAGGCTTTTGCTCATATTCCTCCCTATGAAGGATTTGACTCCATTAAACTGTTAATCCAATTAAATGTAGAGTGTGCTTGTCTCCTAAATTATCAACTTATTGGTCCCTTAGGAATGTAATTAAACACTTTCCAATTCCTCCCTAAAATCTTCTGGTATTGCTTAAACCAATACTGCTTAAATGATTGCTTAAACCACACTGAATGAGGAAATGAGTTGGGGGAGGAGTTAGCAGTCAGCACCAATTCTATTTTGCTGATTGCAGCCCCTGGGAGCTTGTAACCAGGACTAGTAAACAGGGGCATTTGCAAGGGGGAGGCCTGGAGTGCTGTCTCATGGTGTACATAGGACCAAGAGACAATGGAGGACAAGGGATTGCTGTAGTGACACGCTTATGCCATGTTTGTCTTCCTGCCTGAGAATGTGCAAAGCTACACCTGCAGCCAGTACGCGCTGGTTGCCTTGCTGAAAGAGAAGGTACAGAAACATGAGGCCCAATTATCCACACTTTGAGCTATTGGACAAGAGGAGAAATTTCTAGATTGAGCAGGGTGGGGTGTCCTGGAACAGCAACACCAGTGAAGAGGAGGAAGTTCGCTTATTTCAGGAGATGAACCCCTGGAGGAACCTGACACACACAAGCAGAACTGTCAGGAGCCACATTATGTCACTGGAGCTGCAAAATGGATTCCATTCCCTCGCCTCAAACACCAGATCTGGGCCAGAGGAGCAAGGGCAGCAGTTGCAGACCTCAGAATACACTGCCTTCTTTTCTGTTTTTGTTAGAAGTCTGTGATATCCCTGATGGCAGCTTTCTGAGGATTCAAACACTGGGTCTTTGCAGCTCAGCTCCCTGAAATCCTGTTCCAATATAGATATGAGGAAATGAGTGTGAGTTGTATAGCACTTGTTCTACAATTGTGACATGACCCCTTCACCTGCCCTATGGTCCAAAGAAAACTGCATTGGATGGATTAGAGTGGGTGGTTCCCTGGCTCTTCCTGCCTTGGACCTCTTTTTAGAGTGAGACAAGCCACCACTCTCTCCGCAATAGCTAAAGCTGATCATTCAGATGAGATCTTTCCTTACATCAGCTGGGCAAGTTCCTCAGCAGGAAGTGAAGGCAAGCAAAAATGAGCATCAGTTCAGGTGTTCTGGATTAACTGCTTTGTGAACTGGGCTGTGAGTATTTGATCTGGTCTTCACGCTCTGAGGGGTTGCTTTGGAAATAGAAGGTGTGTGAGCTGAGCACTGAAGAGGCTAACTTTGTGCTAAGTGTGCATTTGAGAAGGTTAGATGGTAATTTAGGGACACTTAATCCTCATTTGTCCTGATATAATTTCCTCACTTCCAACAGTTTGAAAATGTCATTGCTTTATAGGCTTTGGCTGTTCTGATAAATGGCGAATGCACACGGCTGTATAACTTTTGAATTATGTTTAGAGGATTCAAATCTTTACAATGAAATTAGCATTTTGTGGGAATGATACCAAACCCATTGAGGATTCATATGTGCAGAAGGAAAAGTCTTGAATGGTATAATACCTAAACTGGCACTTCCTACATAAAACTAGGGCTTTCTTAAAATTAACAGGGTCCGTTTTGGAAGCAGGAGGGAGGGGAGAGAGAATCATGGGATTTTGGAGAGTTTCCTAAAGAAATTCTGTATTTGGTGCTCTTTTATATTTCTCTCACATTCTGTAACATGGGTGAGGAACCTTAATCACCCTAAGGGCTACATTCCCTTACAGACAGCCCCCAGGAGTCATGTGCCATTGCAAGTGGTGTCTTCAGTAATTATGAATGTGGCCAAACACACAACACATTCAATCTTCCATCCAAGAAAGCAATATGGCACTTCAAGGATATGTTACAGCTAGGTAAAATACCTAGAGTAGGGCCCAGAGCTAGTGAGGGGTGAAGAGTAGCTTGGGAGAGAGCAGTCTGGGTTGGGTCGCTTTCCCTGGGCCTAAGGTCATAACTCCCTACTATAACAGCTGCCATTCCTATCACCTACTAG